TTCACAATGCTACCTTCTCTGCACCAGTTCTATTGGAATGAAGGGTTCTGGATTGAAAGACAAAACAAAACTTCCACATCCAGGAGATGTCTCTTAAAAATCAACATAATTCAACTGAACATGTCAATAAATTGGGTCAGTTAATACAACCTACTCCCATAACAGCAAATCACTTAATAAGTAGTAGTGTTTTTCCTTTTTCTTATTTACAAAAAAAAAAAATACATTAGATAAGATCTGGAGGGAAAAACAACCCATAATTCCCCATAACTCCCCTATCCCAACACAAACAGTTTTATTTCAGAATTACTACTTTCCAGTTTGTCCATGAGCACATATATTTTCACACAGCTATAAGCAGTGTAAAAGTTTTTATTTTGTTTTTGTATTTAAACGCTGGTCAACATAGTCCATGTTTTTAGTCATCCTAATTATACTTTTTTAAAGGCTGCATAATTATTCCCACTGATGTGTTATATTATTTAGTCATTAAAATTGGATCTTGGGTGAGACACTGAAGTTAGACATTTAGGTTACTCCATGGTTCCCTACTATACATACTGTTATACCGGGCTAGATCTTTTAAAACTTACTCTTCTCTCAACTTATTTTCGAAGGGTAAATTATCCAGTATCAGTAATTAGTGGGTTTAAATATTTTTCTGGCTCTTGAAACATTACCATAGTGCTTTTCCTAAAGGCAAAACCTAAAGTATAAGGCTGTTAACAGTATATATAATGGCATCCACTAATTAGCAACCCCACTAGCTGTGGGCACTCATGTTAGGTAACATTTTGAATTCAATTAAAAATTTACCCCAGGAAAACTCAATGACAGATTTTAGAGAATCTTAGACTATCTTTCACTTACCATCTTGCATGTTGCTTCAGTAATTTTTCATTCCCATGGTGTATAAAAGCTAAGTCATTGAAGTTTACTAATGTCTGTGTCATTAAATTGTTTCTTTTTTTTTTTTTAAGATTTTATTTATTTATTTGACAGAGAGAGAGAGAGATCACACGTAGGCAGACAGGCAGGCAGACGGAGAGGGAGAAGCAGAGTCCCTGCTGAGCACGGAGCCCCATGCGGGGCTGAATAGCAGGACACTGGGATCATGACCTGAGCTGAATACAGCCGCTTAACTGACTGAGGCACCCAGGCGCCCCAAATTGTGTTTCTTTTTTAAATCCTTCAATTCTGCTCAAACATTCTTAAATTGTTATATGGAAAAGGTTATATAATTCCACCAACAGAGAGCAGCTTAGCTTAGAATTAAACCAAAAATTACAGAGAGTTGATAAGGCAACCAAATTGTGTGATGGCAAGAAAATACCTAACTGGGGGACTCACAAGACCATTCCTCACCCTCACCCCCAATCTCTTTGTTATCTTGACTGGCTCCTTTGTGTTCATGAACACTACAAAAGTCTCCTCAGTCCCACATAAAAACAAACCAACCTTCATTCAATCCTGTGGCCTCTTCAAGGTACCTTGGGGCCCCTTTAATTGCTAAAAGTGTTAAAGAGTTTAACTTTTTCCCCAATGCCTTGCTCTGTGCCACTGAAGAACTATTTCGAAGGTTGTTAATGTGTCCTTTAGCTGTCCTCTAGTTTTTCCTTGGGCTTATAAATAGACCTTTCAACAACATTCATGACCATGCCACCCACCTTTCTGACCACTACCATTCCCAAAGTCTGTCCTCAGCAATACTTCTCTTCAAAAACTTTTGCCTTTGAGTGTGTCAACTATTCATACATTGTACACATTACAATTCATACTGTTAACACCAAAGGACCAGAACTGTATTCCTAACTTGATGGACTCTACTTTTAGATGCTCTGTGGGTAAATCCAATTGAAGAAATCAAAGCCAATTAATTCTGTCCACCACGCTACATTCATTCCTCCATCAGTCCACCCTGCTAATGGCACTATCATTCTCTCATTTAGGTGTGAGATCTTGTTTTCATCTCTGACGCCCCTGTTTATTTTCTCACTCTACACAAGTTTGCTAGATTCCACTCTGGGAAGTTTTTTACTCCATTTTCTGAATCTTACTGCCACCTCTCTAGCTCAGATCCTCTTTATTCCCTATTTCTATTATTGGAGCTTCTTTGACACTCTCTTCCAAATTATTTCTTCTATAATTTGCTATTACATCACTGCCATTTCAATCTTCTTAAAGGGCAACCTGGATTACATCACTCCTTTGTCCATAAACTTTCCCATGCCTACCAGATTATGTAGAGACTTCTTAATCTGAAATTTAAGATGAATGATAGCTATCCCCAAACCACCTCTCTGGCTATCTCATTACTGTCCTATACTCCAAGCAAAATGAAGGCAATCTCTTTCCTCAACATATTCCTTATCTTTCTGTTCCTTGAACACTCCATTGTTTTTCCTTTTTCCATCTTTTTTATTTTCCTTTTTCGTTACATGACCTATACACTTAAAAGCTGCCTGTCCTTCAGGAAGCAGTTACAAAATATTATTTTTTCTATAAGTAACATGTGGCTTTCCTCCTTATGGAATCCACTGTATTCTATCTTGAATTTTAGTTATTATGTGCTATGTTTTTTTATTCCTATTAGACTGAAAATAATTTGAAGGAAGAGATTGCATCTTAGTTTTTTTGACCCAGTACTTTCATTAGCTGTTCTCATTTGATACCCAATTTCACACTGTTCAATCATTTATTGAATATTCACTATGAGTCAAGGCCATACAACTAATAAGTAATAGAAGTGGGACTTCAACAGAGTTCTAGTTCCTCTGGCTTTACTAACACACAAATACAGAAAATGTAAAAAATCCCACAGATCTCAAAAATATTTGCTGAATTTAATTAACCAGCTATATTGTCATAATCATATTTTAAGTAAGATCTTATTAATGGAGTTTGAAATAATTAAAATAAATTGCCTAAGATACCCCTTTAAAATGGTAAGATGCATTTTCTTCTGTACTCCAATAGCAATTTGAATATAATAGTATTATTTATTAGAATATTTTATGAGTATTTCTTTACATTTCTGCTTTCTTCCAATTGACTGTGGATATATTTGCATCTCTAGTACTTAGCACATCTGGCACATGATAAGCTAGCAATAATTTCAATGAACATTCAGGAAATGGAAAAGAATCTAAATAATAATACATATTGAAAGAGAATGTCCGAGAAATCAATTTAATAGAAAAGAAACTCCAGGGGCGCCTGGGTGGCTCAGTCGTTAAGCGTCTGCCTTCGGCTCAGGTCATGATCCTAGGGTCCTGGGACTGAGCCCCGCATCGGGTTCCCTGCTCCGCAGGAAGCCTGCCTCTCCCTCTCCCACTCGGCTGCTTGTGTCTCTCTCTCGCTGTCTCTGTCAAATAAATAAAATCTTAAAAAAAAAAAAAAAAAGAAACTCCAATTGATCACTGATTGTCTTTTTTCTTTCTTACTAGATAAAGTTTTCCCTGATGAAACTAAAGTATCAGCCTAGAAGTGATAGATTAAGCCATGGAAGTGGATATATCAGTCAAGGAAAAAGAATTCAGGGAGAAAAACAGAGCAATGCATACAGTACTCCAGAGAATACTCAACTCAAAAGAGGATGATCAATGAAGTTTTCTATGTGCCCAGGTGATTTTAAATCAATATACACCAGTAGAAAATGGCATATCTGTTTAGCGTCTACTATGTGCCAGGCACTGTGCTAGATGTTAGATAATGCACTAAATGGATAATATGCAGGCATCCAAAGCAGATGATACAGTGTGCTTGGTAATTCAGTTCATAAACTACTTGGGTAATTCAGTTATAATTGAAATTATTCAAGTTCTGTCTAGCTTGTTCATATAGGACATTAGAAATTAGATTTTGTTCATCAGAGTTGAAAAATATGGCACCATGGAATATGACCATATAATGATTTAGGTTCTAATGGCATCTATTCTTTTTTTTTTAAGATTTTATTTATTTATTTGAGAGAGAGAGAATGAGAGATAGAGAGCACGAGAGGGAAGAGGGTCAGAGGGAGAAGCAGACTCCCTGCTGAGCAGGGAGCCCGATGCGGGACTCGATCCCGGGACTCAAGGATCATGACCTGAGCCGAAGGCAGTCGCTTAACGAACTGAGCCACCCAATAGATGCCCTAATGGCATCTATTCTTAATCAAAGGTAAATTAGGAAAAAACTATCTACAAAAGCTTTACTACTTTATTAAATAATTATTCAGTATCCATTCTGTGTCACACAAAGGACTAAGTGCTGGGAATATAGGGAAAAATAAGAAGTCACAATTCTTTGCAAGGTTCATGTAACCTCATGGAAGAACCTACACATAAAAGCAATGATGACATTAAGTATTTTTTTCCTCAAACACTTACGTGAAGTGGAATTTTTCATTTAATGCTGGTTTTGGAGGCCAAGGTCAGTATTTATGTATTCATTTTTGTTGTAGAACCAAAAAACCTTCTGTATTTTAATGAATCATATTTGTATTTCACTGACTACACTAAGAACAAAATCAATCCCATAAACTACTATTTATTTTAGCGACTGATGAAACCCATTAAATCTCTCATTCATTCCTCCCCCACTTCAACAATTTTTCTTTTCTCAGTGTGTCATGCTTCTGTCCACAAGACAGACTGTTCTTTAAACAAGTATTTCAGCACAGATTTTGCTCCTTCTGCCTGGAATGCCTCTCAACAAATTTACAGCAAAGGTATCTACCCTCTAAAAACTATCTCATACAAGTTTTCTCAATTTCCAAACAATATGCTATCACACTAATATGTATGGTAATTACTTTTGCTGTTGTCTTTACACCTCCCCCACTTCTATGTCCCCTAAGCATAAGCTACTTGAGGGTATCCACCTTTTTTCACTTATTTTGCAGATCCTGTAGGGTTTAGCATGCAGAAAGTGCTGAGTAAATATTCACTGAACTTAAACAATCCAATTTACTAATATTACTTTCACATTGTTTCTGAAAATTTAAAAAATCAAACATATTACTGGAAGAGTAAATTAATTTTATTGACTGATGAAAAACTAAAGTGATAAGAAGTATGGATAGTAAACAATAATCATTGAGTTCCGCTGGAATTCTATTTTTCTTCTTTTCACTTTAAGCCAAAAGGACATAAAATTATAGACTGTTAGTGAGCTAATCATTTTAAAGTTTCTTCAACAAAACTGCATAGTTTAGCAGTTGCACAGCATTAAATATATACATTTTTGCAAAACCCTGAAAGTTTTAATTTTTGTGTTGACCTCAAAGGCTAATGGAATCACCTACACTGGTCGGATTCAGAGTTTCTTTTCCCTTTTCTGCCACCCTGTAAAGAAAAATAGGGCAAATTATTTAGGAAGTATCATTTTGGGGGCAATTTCATTTTAAGAATAAACGAGACCAAAGGCATTTTGAATATGAGAAACAAGCAATTTTTTTGAGTTTGTTGTAAATTTGAATGTGCATACCACTAAATTATTTTTACAAGGTTATTTTTTTACAAATGGTTAAAGCAGGTTATATGAAGCAGTTACTTCTACTTGAATTAGTTTAGACTTAGTAAGATCACCAATATTTTATTTGTTAGAGCCTGGACTGTCCCAGGTTTTTAAAAATATGTAATTTTTGATCAATACTAAAATAAACAATTTGCTTCATATAATCAGCAAATTTGCTAATTCAGTTCATTACCTTTTAGGATAATTCAGTTTCTAATCCAAGTTAGTCTTGTTCATATTAGAAATCTGATTTTGTTCATCAGTGGGTTGAAAAGCAGGTTATACTTTTCATATTGCTCAGTGACATATATGAATCTGTATTTAATTTGCTCCAAATAAAACTCAACCTATGGAATTTGATTTGAGCCAAGGAAAGAGGGAGGAGCTTAAAAGAAGTATTTTACATAACTTTTAATATAACATTTTCTTCCTGACTCTAATTTAAAAAGCAAATACTCATTGCAGAAATACAGAAAGTACCAAGGTACAAAAAAGAAAATTAAAATCATCCTTAACTATTCAATCCCCCATTTTAACCATAAGTAATGGTTTGATGTATTTTCCTTACAATAATTTTATAGTTTTCTCCTCCATTTTTATAAATTATGGCAATGATACCCAAACTTAGTTGATCATAGAATCACCTAAAATGGTAATATTTTTCAAATTCTGATGTCTAGACTTCGTCCTGGATCTATTTATTTATAATTACCAGAAGTGGGCAGAAAAACCTGTAATTCATAAAGTTCCCAAGTGATTCTTGGTCACTTTCGTGGTCAGCCAAGTTTGGGAACTAGTACTTGTCTGTGGAAGTGCATTTCTTAAACTGGTGGTTCTATCCGGGGCACATGGAATCCAGACCCATTTACTAGTGTTGGCAGCTACTCTTTGTTGCTTTCATCCTTGTTCTGCTCATAACTTCCCTCTTGGTGGTCACAAACATTTCTACATCAAACTTTTTTATAAAAAAGAAAAATCAAGTATAAGAATGCCATTATTCATTCCTGACCAAATAAAAGTTTTGCACAGATTCATTCAGAGAAAAAAAAAGTAGAAGAGGGTATATGGGACCTGAGATGTGTAATACCATGTATTAAAAACAAAATTTATTTCCTGTAGCAGGAAAATACAAATACATTTACTAAAAACTTTCCTACAAAGTAGATACCCACTATGCGTAAGCACCAGTGTTACACAGCTTAAAACTCTTACCTTGTTTTTCAACAAGATTAAAAACAAAAACAAAACAAAACAAAAAACCCCACACAAAATTCAAGGATCCTTTTTGAAGTCTCCCAGGCAAAGGGAATTCTCCTTCCTAGACTGAAGCGAGGTCAAACCTGGGGCTGTTAAAATTTCTATGTTCTCCAGGCCAACAGTGGTGGCTTTCAAACCGTTTTGACTATAACCCCCCCCACATTAACTAACACATTTTTATATCATGACTTAGACACACATACATACATACAAATATATGTGTGTGTGTGTATACACATATATACATATACACATATACTGAAACAAAGAACTGATTTTTTTTTTTACTGCTTCGTCCAGAAAAAAATGCTGAATGCCAGCTTGTAAATGCAGAAGAAATAATAGAATTAGAAAAAGTCACTATTTTTGCAACCACCAAAATAATAACTGATACAAATATCACAATGGAAGCTAAAACCACTGGGTAAAAAGAAAAGGATATTCACACAATCTCAAAGTATCACTTCACATATTTATTAATTATAAAGGGGAAAGATATCTTTACAATGGAGATATCTAGGAGGAACTGCTGTACCCAAGTGATCAAATTTATATAATAGGACAAATGTCATTATGTACTGTCCCTCAAAATGATTCACTGACACATATGCCACATCATGTACCAAGGATTTTACTTTAGTTATTGCTGTATGTACCAATATTTAGGATAACCCTAACATTTTCTAAAGTGTAAATTATATGACCAATAACAACAAAATTATTAATATGTTTGGCAAACAGATTTTGGACTGAATAAAAAAGTACTTTATTCTCACATAGTATCTATTCTAAATGTATTATTTGTGATGAGAACACTTTCAAAATTATAAAAGCATACCTGGTATTTGGCTAGTTCTGCTTGTAATACTTTCACTTTAGATCTTTCTTGTTCTAATGCGGCATGAAGTGAAGTCACCTAAAACCAAACATTCAATTTAAAAAAGACTGTCTCTTTAGGCAAATACTCTTAATTTGTAACACTTACTCACAATGATGAATTTATTACTAGATGAACAGACATCAGAGGAGAACCACCAAGCACACACACAATTTCAGTTAAGCATTTTACTCAGTTATATATTAAAGACGGAGAGGAGAAGCTCACTATTCTAAGAGAAAATGCACAGTAAGGATGGGAAGGGGAAAAAGTCAAATCCATGAATAGGATAAGTTCTATCTGCCCTTTTTATCTCTGTATGAGTCTGCATCAAGTAAAATACAACCTTATCTTCCCTTAGTCTTCAGGACATAACTCCCTCCCCTCAGCACAGTAAACAGAATCTTCATTCATTTGCTATTACATGATAATAATGAAGTATAATTTGTTTCACTTTATCACAGTGTGATGGGATATATTTTTGTTTAACCAAGTTTCATAATTTAGGACTAAAGAAAAGTAGCTTAAGAAAATCAGTCCTGTATATTTCAGTTTTTCTTACCTGTATAGTTAGCTCATTCTTGATACTTTGTGATTCATCAACTTGCAGAAGTATTTCTGCTTTATCTTTCACTGACAAGAAAGGAAAAACAGCAGTATAATCTTTTTAATCACTCAAATACTTGAACAATACACTTTAGTGAACCAAGACAGCAGTGCAGTTGGGCAAAGATTAATTGTCCTTATACTGAATGAATGTATTTCTTAATTCTATATAGCTCTTATTTTTTCACTGGTAAATTCTGATCATTATTACTACAGCAGTTTTTCTTGGAAATTTTACATTTTCTGTGGTGTTAAAATATTAATTGTAGAGATATCTTGAAAGATAAAATGTTTCCAGCTATTCTAAAGAGGACAAGGACAGAAACAATTTCTCATAGGGATAAAACATATCTTGACTAATCTTAAAGCAAGATTTTAAAAACAAGGTAGGCTGTTTTTGTTTTGTTTTGTTAAATTGTCAGGGCGAGCAGTACCGTAAGGCCCACAAAAATGATTTTTATCTGTTCATACCAATAAAGCACTGTCAGGTAAATGTAGCTCATATGATCATAACTGATGACATACACCTGTGGTCTTTTAGAACTATTCCTTTGTCTGGAGGTTTTCCCTCTTTGGGGAAGCAAGAGATTTATCTACATTTTGGCCCCTAGGTTTCCTAAGCTTTAAAAATCTTCACATGGCTAACAACTTCTTTAACCCATGGTAATGGTTATGATGCATGAAAAACTAACTCCTCGACTTTGAAAACAAACTAGGAGAGACTGAAGAGGCAAAACTGTAATAAATTTAGTGAAGGAGGAAAAGATCAAATATATGACTACTGTTATCACCACAGCTCTACCAATATAACACTATAATTCAAATTTATCTATCATAGTTTAATGTAGTAAAGTGAGACACTGCATCAAGAATCAAATCACAGTCTCTCAAGATTCCACTTGGTAACTTTTACATTCCCACTCCCCAGAATTAGGCATACTCACTTAGAACTTGTGATTTTTAAGAATTATGTAACATTTCAATTATAGTCAGTTTTCCAATAACATGCTTGTTTTGAAAACATGAATTTGTTTCATTGAGATTGCTGTATTATGAAACAACCTGAACATAACATGAATTTTGCATTTGCTTGAGAATAATTTCACAAATACAGAAAACAGCACCCATGCACACACCTCAAATATCAACCAGCTATTTCTGTCCACTGTTAAGAACCACACCAACTTTCCATCCTTCCACTGCTTCATAGTAACACACAATCTGCAGACCCTCTGAGGCCTATTTCCTCAAGCAAACTTAAGGCAGTCTTTCAGGTAAAGTGCCATACTTATTACAGTATTTGTGCTTAACCACTTTAACATGTGTAAAACTGCGTTACTGTTTTTATTAGATGCCCAACTTTTTTTAAATGTGTCTCTGAAGAAGTTTTTTTTTTTTGAGTGTTGCACCTTCCTAACCCCATTTCCCAATAAACCTTGTGGTTTTAATTGTGTGCTTTCACAGAGATTGGTAATTTTTAAGAATATGTGTTGCGTTATATTGGAGATGACTGTATTCACACTCACATTATAAATGCTAGCATCTGTGTGCTCTAACGTACTGTATTTTTTATATAATGGTTCTATATAAAATTCTCCTACTTGGATTTTTTTTTTTAAACTTAAATTCAATTAGCCAACATGTAGTACATCACTAGTTTTTGATGTAGTGTTCAATGATTAATTTGTTGCATATAACCCCCAGTGCTCATCACATTACATGCCCTCCTTAATGCCCATCACCAAGCTACTTGTTATTTTTTTTTAAAGTAATCTCTACACCCAATATTGGGCTTGAACTCATCACCCTGAGATCAAGAGTCGCACGCTTTACCAACTGAGCCAGGCTGGCATCCCTACTTGGATTTTTTTTTTATAGTATACAGTATGAACACTGATGTTATTTACTGGTAGCCATTTTAAATATATTTTTGAGAGAAAGCTTTTATCAGTTAACTTTCTCACTTTTCACAAATGTTTCCCTAAATAGGAATATTACTGTTTTTACATATTTAAAAATCATGCATCCAATGTCCAATGATATCCCTAATTTCTTCAATTAGAAATACAGCTTGTAAACAATTATTTTTTTTCATAATTTTGTTCATTAAATGATCCACATGGAACTCTGTAACAGCCACAGATCTATTAAATGATCCACATGATCCACATGGGACTCTATTACATGCACAGATCTAAATTAACCCCAGAATGTTCTTTCTCCATTATTCTTTAACTTCTTCAAATAATGCCTTTCCCCATTATTCTTTAACTTCTATTTCATCATCGTTAAGCTGTATAAATTAGATTATAAAAAATAGTAAAGTTATCAAACAATAAGTTTGAATTTATTTCAACAGCATATATTCTGTTCAACTGAACATGATTCCTGGTTTTTACTCATATGTTTTGATAACTGTTTTTTAATATAGTTTACAATTTTGATTGGACAGTTCCACTCCCAGTATCTTCAATTTTTGGTATCTTGTTTATTCTGATTCAAGGTGAGTTTCACAATTTCTTGAACACTATACAGTACTCACAAGAGACTTGGGATATCACTGACACTTATTAACAGGGAAAACTATTTATTAAATTTAATTTTGTCTATTCAGATTTTCTCTTATTCAGGTCTTTCTATGTGACTTTTATGATTTATAATTTCCTTTGCATGAGCTTCATATTAAAAAAATCAACACACTTCCATTTCTGTTATGAATGAAAAATTTTCATAGAACTTTCAAGGTAAGTATCACTAGGTATACATAATCAGGAATGCTACTGATGTTGTGGAGGGGCTTCATTTAACATCTACTTTACTAATGTGATTATCTCTAATCATTTTTGATTGATTTCCTTGGCTTCCTGCTGGTGAAATACTGCCAAAATTTAGAGGGGCTGCAAAAGTATAAAGAGTTGGGAAGGGGTGCCTGGGTGGCTCAGTCAGTTAAGTGTCCAACTCTTGGTTTTGGCTCAGGTCATGATCTCAAGGTTGTGAGATCGAGCCCCATGTTGGGCTCTGTGCTCAGCATGGAATCTGCTTGTCCCTCTCCCTCTGCTCTTCCCCCTGCTCATGTGTGCACACACATTCTCTCTCTCTCATTCTCACTCTAAAATCAATAAATGGATTTAAAAAAAAAGACTAGGGGGAAAGGGAGAAGGAAAACCTAAAATGATGATAGGCATTCTCCTCTAATAATTAAAAAGAGAATCTTAAGCAAGATCTATTCTTGGTTTCCTGCCGAATGTAGTCCAATACTTTATAAGAATTGAAATTTCAAGCTTTCTCTTACCTGAATAGTTGGAAACTTGTGTTATACTAAGGTGCTGTAAGAGTGACTTGTAATAATAAAATTATCAGCAACAATTCAATCTGAATCACTCTGGGAAAATTTTTTATTTTATTGAGTTAATCATATATCTTGAAAAATTATCTTCAAATACTTTTAAAGGTTACTTTTAATTCTAAAAACACAGAAATCACTTACTTTCACCTTCCTGAAGCATTTTCAATAACTGTGCATTTCTTGCCTTTACTTCTTTATACTTTGCCTATAGTCAAAGAAAAAATATTTAATTTAAAGTAAATGGTGTAATTAATGATTTACTCTGAACTTATGGAGCTATGAATTCTAGGCTTGCTGAAAGACAGAAATTACTTTTGAAAGAAGTAGGATGGAGGAAAATGTATTCAGTACTATCTCCTCCTACATTAATTCCGTGGTACAATACTAGAAATTAATATTATAGGTGGTGGAAAATGAAGAAAGAGATAAAATCGGAGAAAATTCAGGATAATACCAAATTTTCTTGAAGTTCTTTCTCTTTTTTTCCTTAAAACCCTATACAATTCAAAATAATTAGATGAAAACAGAGAAAGATGATTCACAGCTAGCTCTAGACCAAAACTGTCCAGTTCTATACCAAAACTTTCTGCATGTTTTCTACATCTGCCATTGTCCAATATGTGGCTACTAACTACTGAGAGTGCCTAGGTACATACACACAGTAGTTACAGGACTATACAGCACAGTACTATGTCTGCTCATTTAAGGCTTTATTAATCTCTCATTATTTCATTAACTATATGTTGTTAAAGTAACTTTTAGCCGATATGAATTAGTAATTCACTGGAGTATCTTTCAATTCTTTTTCAATTTCTTTTTCCAAATGATTTAGCTTCTCATAATACATAGATGACACAATTATACACTTATGAACAAGAGGAAATATGTTCCCACATTAACATCTTTATTCCAAGGAATTTTCTCCCTACAATACCTTATTTAACATATCTTAAGCAGACTTAGTTATTTATAAATATTTAATATATTAATACATTGTAGAAAACAATACATTTAATACATTGTGGAAAAACAAAAGATCAGAGAAAGAAAGCAGATCAGTATAAGAAACCTGTCATTTCTTCTCTTAACACGTAGGCACATAAGTACAGAAGCTACTGATTCAAAAATCTTTCTTGTAAAACATTTTTAATGTATTTTAAATCAAGGCAAATAGAGATGGCTTTTACTAAACACTCTAACCAGTAAATTGCTGATAATAAACCAGTAATGATATTCAGTGATATTGCAGACAATACACTGAAGAGAAGTAAACACCACAGTAAATATAAAGCAAGAACTTTTGAGAAGCTTAGGAATAAATGAGGGAGGTAAGTCAGATGGACACATAAAAATATGAAGGGGAAAAACATACATAGTTAACTACAAGTATATTCACTATGAATATATATCCACTATGAATATGAAACTGTATCTAAAAAATTCTCTCCCAGGGCCTCAATCAATGTTAATATCTTGCCAAACTCTATCTCCAGCTCAAGTCTTTTGTCCAAGGTACAGAGACACCTCTTGCAGCAGCCTTCGGGTCTAAAGTCAGCTCATAAAGCAAAAATCGCAAATGAGCAAAATTATCAATGAAAAATCTTTATGTTGCCCATAAAAATGGCATATATAGTTTTGTATATACAACCCTGAATAGCAAATTTATCTATAAAAACAAAATGTGTAACATACTAATGCCATGCAATTTATAAGAGCATAAATGAAATATACAGGACCCTTATTAGTATTTTTAATTTCATGAAAAAGAGAGAACTTAAGTTAACTAAGTTAAATGATACATATATTGTGAGTTCAGCTGCATCCTGAACATCTATGCCTACATCCATAGCCATTTCAAACTTAGCATATACAAAATGGACTATTAGTCCTCTCTGCCCAAACCTATTCAAAATGTGCTCTTCCTCTCACACTCCATATCTCTTCATTGTTTTACTACACTGTCTTCACTCCAGGCCTCATGCATGTGTGTGTGTGTGTGTATACACACATACACACATACACACACACACACACATATATATTTTATATACATCTTATAATATATTTAGGTCGAGTTTTTCAGTAAGAATTGAAGTATATATATACTTAGCACCAATCCAGTGGTTGTAATTGCAGTTCTTTTTTTCTGCACATAATTTATGAAGCTTTGGGTTTATTTATTTAATTCTATTTTTTTCATCACAAGTGTACTCTTTAATCCCCATCACCTATTTTCCCCATCCCTCCACCCACTTCCCCTCTGGTAACCACCAGTTTGTTCTCTATAGTTAAGAGTCTGTTTCTTAGTTTCTCTCTTTCTTCCCCCTTTTGTTTTGTTTCTTAAATTCCACATATGAGTGAGATCATATGGTGTTTGTCTTTCTCTAACTGGCTTATCTCACTTAGCATTATATTCTCTAGATCCATCCATGTTGTTGCAAATGGCAAGATTTCATTCTTTTTATAGCTGAATAATATTCCATCACACACACACGCCACAACTTCTTTATCTTTGTTGTGCTCAACAAAAGAAAAGGAAAATATAAATCACAAAGAAAAAGCTAAGGGAGATGGGTGGATGCAGTCCAAAAAAAAGTTTTAGCTGGGATGATTCCTAAAGGCATGTGTAAAGGAGAAAGGAAAATATAAGAACCATCAGGGCTGGAACTTGATTTATCATTTTTCTCACTATTACATTATGTAGGGCCCAGAAAAGTACCTGGCACATTATAGGCACTCAATAAATAACTGTTGAGTGAATAAATATTAGTCAAAAAAGAATGACACTTGAGACGAATAAGAGATTTTCTGAAAAGCCTAAAGAAGCAAGTAAAAGGGTAACATGTAGCTCTTGGTTTAAAAAAAATTGTATAAATAACAAGTGTTGGCGAGGATGTGGAGAAACTGGATCCTTTGTACACAGATCATGGGAATGTAAAATGGTGCAGGTGCTATGGAAAACAATCTGGCAGTTTCTCCAGAAGTTAAATGATCCAGCAATTCCACTTTTAGGTATATACCCAAAAGAACTGAAAGCAGGGACTCAGATACTTGTACACTTATGTTCATGGCAGCATTGTTCACAACAGTGAAATGGTGGAAACAATGCAAGTATCCATAAATAGAATAAACAAAATGTAGTGTAACTATATGTGTGTGTGTATATATATATATATATATATACACACACACACAATGGACTATTATTCAGCCATAAGAAGAATGAAATTCTGATACATGCAAAAATATGGATGAAACTTGAAAACATTACTCTAAGTGAATTAAGCTAGACACACAAAGACAAATATGATTCCACTTATATGAAGTATCTAGATTAAGCAAATTCATTGGGATTAGAGGTTATGGGGGCTGCAAAGAAAAGGGAAATGGGAAGTTATTTATGGGTACAGAATTTGGGATGATGAAAAAGTTCTGGAAATAGATAGTGTTGATAACTACACAACACTGAAGATAATTAATGCCAATAAATTATATACTTAAAAATGGTTAAAATGGCAAATTTAATGTTACATATATTTTCACATGATTAAAAATCATATTGTCATTCAGATTTTATATCATTAAATGAGAGTTTAAAAACCTAAACAGCAGAAATATTATTTCTAATTAATCATATATATATTAACATAAAAGAAAAACAGAAAAGTGCAATTTTATAGAATTAGTTTACAGCAGTAAATAATTACAAACCTCCCATTGAGTGATCACATTTTTCAGCTTCTGGATTTCAGCATCTTTCCTTTCAAGTTCCAACTTTAGTCTTTCAATTCTTCCATCTTTCAGAACTACTTCCTGTGGGAGAAAAACACTATTTTAGAACTAAGATAGTTCTGGGGTGCCTGGCTCAGTAAGTAGAGCATGTGACTCTGGATCTCAGGGTTTTGAACTTGAGCCTCACTTCGATTGCTTAAAAATAAAATCTTAAAATAAAAAAAAAAGAAAAGAAGAAACTGAGATAGTCTTACCAATTCTGGTTTGCAATATTCCTTTGTGAAAAGTTTAACAGGAAAAAAAAATCCCAATTTTCCTGATTTCAATTCATTTTCTAAAGCAACCTTAAACTGCTGACTACATTCCTACTTCTACTCAAATATATAATTGTAATTATTACAGTGAAAGCAAATAAGATATTTATGATTAATCTCAAGCTACAAACATAACAGAATAATATCAGAGCTTTGAAATATTTCTATACTGGAATAAACATATTAAAAGTGCTCTGTTACAAGTTGTTATTAGTCTATCTTTAAAACCCAAAAGAATTTAAAACTTATGAGAAATAATAAATAGTAATAAATTTTTATAATTATTTTATAATTTATAATTATTTTATAACTATACAAAATAAATAAATAAATAACAAAGAACAAAACCCCCAAATTAAGAACTTTTCTCTATATCAGCAATTAGCAGGTGGAAAATATAACTAGAGGGCGCCTGGGTGGCTCAGTTGGTTAAGCGACTGCCTTCGGCTCAGGTCATGATCCTGGAGTCCCGGGATCAAGTCCCACATTGGGCTCCCGGCTCAGCAGGGAGTCTGCTTCTCCCTCTGACCCTCTTTCCCTCTTGTGCTCTCTCTCTCTCATTCTCTCTCTCTCAAATAAATAAAATCTTTAAAAAAAAAGAAAATATAACTAGAAAAACCATTTCCCCCAGTAGCTATAAAAAAATCCCTAAGAATAAAATTCAGAAATGTTTAGGATCTATAAAGAAAACTATAAAATATTGAAAAGGACATGGAACAAAGTATGTTTGTAGATGGGAAAACTAAATATTACTTTGTAAATTCAATAAAATTTTAATTGAAGACGAACCATTAGAGACTGATGGATCCTGAAAAACAAACAGGGTTCTAGAGGGGAGGGGGGTGGGGGGATGGGTTAGCCTGGTGATGGGTATTAAAGAGGGCACATTCTGCGTGGAGCACTGGGTGTTATGCACAAACAATGAATCATGGAACACTACATCAAAAACTAATGATGTAATGTATGGTGATTAACATAACAATAAAAAAATTATTTAAAAAAGTTATTTAATAAAAAAAATTTCAATTGAAATTCCAGTCAAAACTTCATCTGGGAGAACACAGGATAGAAATAAAAAGTTAACGCAATGAAGAATTTGCCTACCAAATAACTACACCACACAGCAAAAATAACTACAATAGTGTGGTCAGGGCACCTGGGTTGACAGAACAGTGTACCAGAAAAGAAAGTCCAGAAAGATATTTAAGATATAAGAATTTACAGTAATATAATTATGGTATTTTAAAGAAGTGAGAAAAGGCTGAATTACAGAATAAATGTAGGTTACAGGATAAGTGGCTAACTGGGGAAAAAAATCAAGTTAAATAAATCCCTGCCATCTTGCACCACATACCCCGACAAATTTAAATGTAAAAAAAATCATCCCAAAGTCAAATAAGAGTATAAATTGGTTCTATTTATCTAATGAGTGATGTGGCAACATGAACTTATTCTAAAGATTCTGAGCACCTAACTACTAGGTGCTGCATGGACTATGGTGAAGAGAGCTGAAACAACTCTTGCTCTCATGGGACTTGTCTGGGAGAGGAGGCAGATACAAACATAAATGCTGCAATTAGAAAGCGAGGTTTAAGCTATGAAGAAAAGAAGCATAATGCTATGAAGGGAATAATGTGGATTATTCCCTTGTGGATCCAGGAAGCTCTCTCTGAGGTAGTGACACTTAAGATGAACTTTGAGTGATGGGAAGGAGCTGGCTAAGCAAAAAGAGGAGATAAGAGATTTCCAAGGAAAAAGGACAGTATGCTTAAAGGCCCCAAGGCAGGAAGGAGCGAGCCTAGAGAATCTGAAGGAAAAAGAGGCCAGTATGGTTGGAGTTTAGTGAGGGGGTAGATAGTACAAGACAAGAGGCCTGATCTTGGAGGGCCTTGGGAAGCAGTGAAGGAATTTGAGCAGGACTATCAGCTTTCTACTCATGTTACATTTATGTTTTTAAGGGATCACTTTGGCTGCTGTGGAAAATGCATTAGAGTTGATAAAAGAGGTGGAAAAATGCTTTAATTGCTACTGCAAGCCCACGTCAGTGAAGATCATGCCTGAGATTAGAAGTAGTTTAGATAGAGAGAAGTGTACCATATGAGAAATTATATTGGGAACAGAATCTACAGTATTTTATTAGCAGTTGAATGTGGCAGGTGAGGATGATGAGCACTTCAAGATTCTAGTTTAAGGAATAAGGGGGAGTAGACCCAGATTAGAAACAGATATAATATTAGGCCCAAGAATTTCACTTCTAGGAATTTACCTTAAATAGAGAAGTGAGGTGGGAGGATATCTATGAGTGTTCACTGCAGATCTATTACAAAAAACTAGATATCAATTTAAATGCCCAACAATAGGATACAGGCTAAATATATGGCAAATTTATAAAACTGAAAACTCTGAAATCACTAAAAATGATACAGAACCATAAAATATATTCACATGGTCTCAATCTCACTATACGCAAAGAAAAAATTCTGGAAGGACATACACTAAAAATTTACTCTTAGGAGATTTATTTTTATGAGATTATGGAAATTTCACCTTATTGTTTAAAAATTTCCTTTTATCAAAATTGTTTTATACTGAGTATAGAATCATTGAATAATATAAAATACTATTCTAATTTTGAAAAAATGGAAACACTTAAGTATTAAAATAAAATCTAGATGAATAAGGATATCTATCATCTTTGAGTAGGAAAGCCCTTCTGAACATAATATCAAACGGAGGAAACTAAAAGGAAAAGACTGATACATTTAACTTGATGAAAAAATCTCCAAAAATACTAAAATAAAATCAAAAGATAATGAGACCCTTATGGTTTTCCTCCCTCTCTGTTTTTATCTTATTTTAACTGGAAAAAATTGTCATAACCATATGACAGGCCTATAACCAATAAACATGAGAAAGTATACAATCTCAGTATTAAACAAGGAAATGTTATATCAAACTGGTACATTTAAAATATTTTTTTCTCAGTGTGGGGTAACTGAAAGCAATTTAATTATTAAAAAACTCAACTATTTAATGTATAAGAATTATTACTTAATAACCCAAAATGCTCACATCTTTAACTAAAAAGTGGTCCATTTAACAGTTTCTATATTATAAGAAGGGAAAAAAAGTATATATCCAAAGAAAAGTAGGACCAAAACAAACTATCAATAGTTTTCTCCAGGTGAATAAAATTAAGGTCATTTTTTCCCACTACATCTACAAACTGGGGATAATATCTACCAACTTCATAATTAACTGTGCAAATTAAATGAAATAACCATTTTAAGTACTTAATATAGTATCTGGCAAATATATAGTAAAGCCCTCAAATATTAATTTTTGCCATTATCATTTCTCCACTTATCAGTAGTTTTCAAATTTCTTTAACAAAGATGACTTTTTGGGATGCCTGGGTGGCTCAGTAGGTTAAGTGTCTGCCTTCAGTTCAGGTCATGATCCCAGAGTCCTGGGATCAAGTCCCACATCGGGCTCCCTGCTCAGTGGGGAACCTGCTTCTTCCTGTGCCTGCCACTCCCCCTGCTTGTGCTCTAACAAATAAAGTCTTTAAAAAAAAAAAAAAGAATGACTTTTTAGGGGCGCCTGGGTGGCTCAGTTGGTTAAGCATCCGACTTTTGGTTTCGGCTCAGGTCATGATCTCAGGGTCCTGGGATCGAGCCCCGGGACAGGCTCTGCACGCAGTGGGGAGTCTGCTGGAGATTTTCTCTTTCCCTCTCCCTCTGTCCCTCCCCACCACTCACATACTCCCTCTCTAAAATAAATAAATCTTTTAAAAAAGACAACAAAGATCACTTTTTAAAAACAGAAAACCATAGTTTTAATGTGCATTCATTTTTATAAAGCCCTATATTTCAATTAATAAATTGAAAACATATCTTCTAAGTAGAAATTATTATACACTAAAATGAGGATACAAGGATGTACAAGATAAAGTCCATGACCACAAAGGATTTGTAATCTGTTAAGAATGATAATAAAAACGTGCATGAAATGTGCCATGAGAAAAACAAAATGCTGTGGAGTTAAAAAAAGAAGGAAAGATCACATCCAGATCTTCTGTGTTTGGTGTTTCAGCTGGGGCAGTGAGAGAAAGCTTCAGGGAGAAGATGACAAGTAACATGAACCTTGAGCAAAGCCAGGGAAGATCAAGCATTCTGTGATAGGTGTGCTTTACTCTAGCCAGGAGAAAATCTGGGAAAGAATATGGCTGAAGTTAATTAGGTTGAAACTACACAAAAGAACAACGCTTTTATACTTATTTGACAGTGATCCACATTAAGGAATGTTTTAGATCATGACCCAGAATACACACGTCAGTGTATGTATATGTACTTATGTGTGTATGTTGTGTATATGTACATATACACATAGAAACAAATTTTATAAAATATGAATAGATGTCATATACTGGACATTTTTCTTTTTTTTTTCTATTATCTACTGTATTTTTCTACTGCCTATCCATAAACCTACTAAATTGATTTCTGGACTGGTTAAATGAGGTAGAACTCTCAGTTTGAAAAGCAGAGCCTGAGGACCTTATGTATCAGGTCAAGGATATTGTACTTGATTCAATGGACATTGAGGTTTAAGGACTTGGTGTGGCATGACTGAAGTCATGCTTTTTAAAAGTCATTTGGTAGCAGTGTATAAGGGAAATTACTCCTAGCATTAGAAGGCAGGAGGCAAAAAGAGTTGTTAAAAATTACTGAAATAATACCAGTAAGAAATAATGAGGACCTAAATTAGAAAAGTGCTCATGAAAATGGAAGAGAAGATAGATTTGAAAAATACTTCATCAATGAAAAACTCCCAGACCTTGAAAAACAGAAAAGTGAAAAAAGAAGTTTGGAGTCTGGATATCTGGATAAAATGACAGAACCAAAAACAGGAATGATGTACAAGCCCAATGCTTGCTTTGAACTATGCCCAAGAGTTTGGGCATAGTTAGAATAGGTATCAACAGAGCAAAAGAGCAAGATATACAAAGGCAATTAATAAAACAGAGCTCTGAAGTCCATAAGATCAGCAGTGGATGATCTACCCAATGCTGGTGAAGTTGTGGACAATTTAGTAAGCTCATATCCTGCTTCTAGAAGACAATGTTGACACTAAGATGTTTACATCCTTTGATTCAATTACTATCTTTTAAGAATTTTTTCAAGGAGCACCTGGGTGGCTCAGTCAGTTAAGTGTCCAACACTTGATTTTGGCTCAGGTCATGATCTTGGGTCATGGGACTGAGCCCCATGTCAGGCTCTGCACTCAGCGAGGAATTTGCTTGACACTCTCTCTCCCCTCTTTCTCTGCCCCTCCCCCCCACTTGTGTGTACTCTCTCTCTCTCCCCCTTCTCAAATAAATAAATAAACAAATCTTTAAAAATATTTTATTTCAAGAAGGGGTGCCTGGCTGGCTCAGTCGGTGGAGCATGTAACTCCTGATCTCAGGGCTATGGGTTCAAGCCCTATGCTGGGTAGAGATCACTTAAAAAAATAAAATCTTAAAAAAAAAAAAGAATTTGTTTCAAGAACATATTTCATAAAAAAATTAAACATAGGAAGATGTTCAATGAATATCAAGTGACCAATTCCAAACAACCTAAATATTCAACAATAGGGCAATGAATGACCAAGTGAATTACACTGTACTGATTTGACAATAAAATGCATGGTTTACAAAAGGCGCTACAAAACTATTTAACATTGTTACAATTATTTTTAAAATACTTATGCATGTGGCATCTTCCTAGAAAAGTGGTATTCAAAAATGAAACCACATGTAAAGAATGGGTTAATTAGGGTTGATTTATTTTTCACCTTTAAAAATTCCTGAGTATATTAATGTACAGTAAAAGAGGATTTAACCATGGCAAAAAGAAGAGCTTTCTTTGTTTGAGAAAGGAATACAATGGAGAGAGGAAGGAGATAAAGAGAGAGAGAAGTATTTATCTATATGGTCTCGATCTTTTTCTTTTCCCCATTACACTCTACACTATGAGAAAATCCTAATTTTTTAATTATGAAAAATTTTGCATATGCAATAGAAATATGTAATGACACACATAAAGTAAAAATAACCCAATAGGTAGATTAAGAATTTGAACATTACCAAAATTTTGGCATTTCCCCATGTGCCCCTTCCCAATCATATCTATTTCCTTTCCCACCTGAGGATATCCCCTTTTATGAATTTTGTATTGTCATTCTCTTCCTTTGTTAGTCTTTTACTGCATATATATGTATCACTAAATAATACATTAAATTTATTTTTTTTGAAATATATATAAATGGCATCAAACTATTATTTGGTGACTTGCTTTTTTCATCAACATTATGTTTTTGATATTCATTCATGTTGCTATGTATAACTGTAGCTCATTTGTTTCTCCTATAGATTTTGTTATTATGAACAACTGAGTTTTGAACATTCTTCTTGAACATGTGTCCAGGGTTTAATCTAGGGTACAATTATAGAACATGTGGTCTGCCTATCATCTTCAACTTGAAAAGTTAATACTGGTTGCTAGGGTCCGGGGGAAAGGGGAACAAGGGAGAGGCTGGTAAAATGGTCCAAACTTTCAGCTATAAGATGAATAAGGTTGGAGAATCTAATGTATACCATGGTGACTACAGTTGATAATACTGCATTGCATAATTGATGTTTTAAGAGGCTAGAACTTAAATGTTCTAAAAAAAAAAAAAAGATAAATATGTGAGATGGTAAATGTGTTAATTAACTAGATGGGAGGAAACATTTCACAACGTTTATGTATATCAAATCATGACATGCATTTTATTTCTATTTTATAATGTGCATTTTAAAGCTGAAAAAAATACTGTTGCATCTTTACCACAAAAATAAATAAAAAGTTAATACCAAACAGTTTTCCAAAATGGTTATATCGATTTACACTATACCACTAGCAGTATACTACTGTTGTTCTATACCCTTAATAATACTGAGCATTGTCTAATTCCTAACACTAGTCTTCAACTTCATTCAGTTTTTCCTAGGCACTCCAGTGAAATTATCATCACATAAAACTTGGTCCTCTGCTCAAAAACCTTCAAAAATTCTTTACTGTCTACTGACTAAACCATAAACCAGGCCTTTAAATCCTCCACAATCTTTTCCAACCTAACTTACCAAACTTAAACTATACTCCTCAAAGGTCCTTCTGTTTTAATTAGGCTTGTTTATACTTCACTGCCTCCATACTTATGGCATTCTAGTTTCTTCTCCCTCCCCTGTGCATATTCAAATTCTACTGTTCTTTATATTCCAATTCAAAAGCCATTTTTTCCTTAGAAAGCCATCTCTGATCTCCATTCCTGTGAATTACCATGGCACTTTACCAATATATCCTTTTTGGGACACACCATTTTCTACCTTATACAAAAATAATTATATATTGAGTACTATGTACAACATACTCTGATAAAAATTTTAAATCTTAACTGCTAATTAATTGCAACTCCTAAAAACAGTACATGAGAGGCAGGTAATTTCATCCCAATGTAGCAGAGCTGATAAGCTACATAAGCTCTATTTTGTATTATTAGGTTTGGCTGATTTCAAAGACACTTGTTCTATACTGCACTATTGCTTTGGTCTTACTAGATCATTAACATTACTTAATCATTTAACTGAACTTTTATATGCAAAAATTTGTTCTACGTAGGGTTTAAGACACCTACTTACTGAAATACACGAATATAATTCTTTCTATCCAAAAATCATCTCAGATGGCTTAAAAAAAAGAAGATATGGACCACAAAGGGTGAATCATAGTCAATGAAAAAAGAGGAAGCACATATATTAACCATAAATGTTAACACGGTTGCACGGACTATACATAAAATTTGACAGTTAAGGCAAGACTTGAAAACATTAAATTTAATTCAATTTAGAAAGGAAGAAGCTCACAAGTACTTCTTGTACAGGCAAGGATTTCCTGCCACTAAGTTGAAAATAGATTTCCATGTGGAATTATGTTAGTGTTATTTATAAACACATCATACAGCTGCATTAGAATAAAAATGGTCTGACTTCTTTGGTGTCCTATAACACAACATAGTAGGTGTTTAATTTGTTGAGTGACTGAATTTATCAATCTTAATGAAACAAAGAGGTAATATCCACAGAAGAATAAAAGGATGGGAAACGGGCTTTTAGATTTTGGAACAGCCACTATAGGAATCTGTCAAAGTCAAACTGTACTGAATTGCTGAATCGTTATATTGTACACCTGAAACTAATGTAACACTGTATGTTTATTATAGTTTAATTAAAAAAAAAAAGGAGAGAGAGAGATGAACCAAAGGACTGTTATGTAGAAATGAGGATCTGGCAAAAGTTACATTGCACTGATTTTCAGAACAGAACATTAGCATTGTCTTAAAATACGTATATATTTTCCAGCAACACCTGGCAAGCCAGGAATTAAATCAGAATAGAGAAAGTAGGCAATACTGTGAAAGCCAGTGCTGTGCACCTACAAGGGAAGAAGAAAAAATCAAGGAGGTAAAGGGAAAGCATTTGTGGGAACACTACTGAAATTACTTACTACAAGTTTCAGGCTGAGAACAATTATTGATGGGTTAGAGGTCAATATAAGGTAAAGAATGGGTGAAAGTTTAAGAGTAAGTTAGACCAAAAAAAAAAAAAAAAAAGAAAGGAGTCAATAAAACAAGACTAGCAGTTGTGGTGAGAAAAATAAATGCAGACTTACAGGTCTCTATATGATGAGATCTTTTCTTTCTTTTTTATTTTTTGAGTAATATATTTAAAATGTGAATACCATTCTTAGCTTGTGGGCAATAGTTTGCAACCCCTGGTCTACAGGTTAAAATTCCAACTTCTTAGTTCCTCTTAAAAAGACCTTCATAATCTAAACCCAAGCTATTTCCCTAGCCCTGTTACCTCAGCCTCACACACTCTGTGCATCTCAATGCAAAACCTATTTCCTGAATATTCAGTCTAAGACTTGTGCAGCTCTGGGCCTCTGCTCTTGCACTTCCCATAGGGCCCCTCCATTTCTCTGCTTACGGTTTATTCATCATTCAACATCCATCCCAAATGTCAATTCTTCAGACACCTTTCACAATTCACCCAAGGAGGGAGCTAGCACCTTCTCTATTCAAAACCTCATTTGTATTGTCCATCTCTCTCAAGCCTTTGTCATGCTGAATGATACTCGATAGGTCTGCCTCCTCTTATCCCCACTGTTCTGAGTACCAAAGTGAAGGACAGTCTCACCCATCTCGGTATTCCCACTCCCCTATACTGGTGACTAACAGTACCTAGCACACAGCACACACTCAATAAATATTCAATGAATGGAGTACCTCATACTTGTTAATATAAGTATCTATGTGTGATAATGACTAAGATATCCTAAAACTGTAGTGTCATATCATTATAATTGGATTCCACTGTTTAAGTTTTTTTTAAAAAGGAAAATTGCATTTTAATTTCACTGTGATTTTAAGAGAATTTTCTATTTTACATGCCTGGTTGTGTTCATGAGCTGCGCAATTATCTGTTCCATTATATTCTGTAAGCTGTTCTCTTCTTTTTTCTCTAATAAGAATTTTATGAACATCATCTTCCAGTCTATTGAAGAATCCTCCATCATGTGATAAAGTCTGAGAACTCAATTCCTGTCAAAAATGAATTACGATTTACTATCATTCAACACAAAAGTGTATGCATTTAATAAACCTAGTCAGCCACCAGAAGGCTGGAGAATGAAAGAAAAATGGTAACTAAGAGACAATCAACCATGTGATTCTTCTGTATCTCCAGAAGATAAACAGAGACACATTCTTAGAAGTCCTTTTCTTCATTTTTTTTGAGTTGGATACTGCTTGATTTAAAAAAAAAATTATCCATATACCATATAAATCACCCATTTAATATGCACATTTCCATGGTTTTTAATATATCCAGAGTTGTGCAACCATACTACAATCAATTTAATAAGTTTCATCACCCCCAAAACAAACCCTGCATTTTTACCATTCTCCATTTCTTCCTAATACCTCCCCTCTCAGTTTCCCCTGCACAACACTAATCTACATTCTGTCTGTATAGATCTGCCTTTTCTGGATATCTGATATAAATGAAGTCATATAATATGTGGTCTTTTGTGACTGGCTTCTTTCACTTAGCACAATGCTTTCAAAGTTCACCTATATTATAGCATGTATCAGTTCATTTCCGACTACCAAATAATATCTCACTGATGGATACATGGTATTTTATTTCTCAGTTCATTGGTTGATGGACATTTGGGTGGTTTCTACTTTTGTGCTATTATGAATAATGCTACCATAAACATTCAAGAACAAGTTTTTGTGTGGCTATGTTTTCAATTATCTTGGGTATATATCTATAAGTAGAACTGCTGGAACATATGGTAACTCTATGTTTAATTTTTTGAGGAATTGCAAGATAGTTTTCCAAAGTGGCTGCACCATTTTACAATCCCATCAGTAGCATATGAGGGTTCTAATTTCTTTACATTCTCACCAACACTTGCCATTATCTGTCTTTATTCATCATAGCCACCTAAGTGAGTGTGAAGTGGTATCTCACTATAGCTTTCAGCTGCATTTCCCTGATGGTTAATGGTGCTAAGCATCTTTTCATGTGCTTATTGGATATTTTTTTATCTTTTTGGAGAAATGTCTACTGAGATCCTTGGCCCACTTTTTAACTGGATTGTTTTTTACTTTTGAGTTTTAAGAGTTTTTTTTTTTCTAAAGATTTTATTTATTTATTTGAGAGAGAGAGGGAGAATGAAAGAGAGAGAGCACAAGAGGGAAGAGGGTCAGAGGGAGTAGCAGACTCCTTGCTGAGCAGGGAGCCCAATGCAGGACTCGATCCCAGGACTCCAGGATCATGACCTGAGCCGAAGGCAGTTGCTTAACCAACTGAGCCACCCAGGTGCCCGAGTTGTAAGAGTTCTTTATATATTCTAGATATAAGTCTCTTATCAAATATATGATTTAGAAACATTTTCTCCCATTCTGTGGGTTGTCCTTTCATTTTTTTTAAAAAGATTTTATCTATTTATTTGAGAGAGAAAGCACGTGTGAGCATGAGTGGGGGAGGGACAGGGGAAGGGACAAACAGACTCCCTGTTGAGCAGGAAGCCTGATGTGGGGCTTGATCCCAGGACTTTGGGATCACGACCTCAGCCAAAGGCAGATGCTTAACCAACTGAGTCACCCAGGCACTCTGTCGTTTCACATTCTTGATAGTGTCCTTTGTATTACAAAATTTCTGAATTTTGACAATGTCCAATTTATGCAAGGAACCGCTACCTAACTCAAAGTTGTGAAAATTTACTCCTATAATTTCTTCTAAGAGCTTTACCATTTTAGCTCCTAGATTTAGGTCTATAATCCATTTTGAGTAATTTTTTTGTGTATGGGGTGAACCATGGGTCCAAACTCATTCTTCTGCATGTGGATATCCAGCATTATTTGCTGAGAATTATTCCTTCCCCACCAAATTGTCTTAGCATTCTTGTACAAAAATCAATTGACCATAAATTTAAGAGTTTCTTTCTGGATTCAATTCTGTTCTGTCAAGCTATATGTCTACCCTTATGCCATAACACACTTCCTTGATTATTGTAGCTCTGTATTACTCCATCTTGTACATTACATTGAAAAAAAATATATATATTTTAAAGATTTTATTTATTTGACAGAGAGAGAGAGAGAGCGACAGCAGGAACACAAGCGGGGGGGTGGGGGAGAGAGAAGCAGGCTTCCCGCTGAGCAGGGAGCCCGATGCGGGGCTCGATCCCAGGACTCTGGGACCATGACCTGGGCCGAAAGCAGACAGACGCTTAACGACTGAGCCACCCAGGCGCCCTTGAAAAAATATTTTTTACATAAATTCTACATATCCATGATAAAGAGACAAGATTTTATCACAATCTATTCAATTACATTAAATTAGAAATTTTACATGTTCTCCAATTAAAGCAGCATTTCTTCTCCAACTTCTTGTAATAAAGACAGAGACTGAAAGGGCACCTGGGTGGTGCAGTCAGTTAAGTGTCTGAGTCTTGGTTTCAGCTCAGGTCATGATCTCAGGGTTGTGAGAATGAACCCTGTGTCGGGCTCTGTGCTCAGTACAGAGTCTGCTTGAGATTCTCTTTCTCTCCCTCTCCCACTCCTCCCATTCTCTCTCTCAAATAAATTTTTTTTAAAAAAAGAGAGAGACTGAAGAAAATATTCCTCTCACTCTCATTAGTTTCATATATGTCCAACATTCTTGAGCTATAACGCTCAAACTTTATCCATTTTAATTGTATTTGTAAGCAAATGACCCAAAAGTTCAAATTCCTTTCCCTATATATTATCTTAGCGTTTGAAAGAAACAAAAATGTGTATCACTGCTTAATAAACAAACGACACTATAAATATTTGTGCAGCACATTGTATTTTGCAAAGCACTCACGTAAAGCATCACTTTGACTCTCAACATCATAAGAGGCTGATGGAGCAAGAATTATTTTGCCACAAAGTAATCAAGGCCTCACTAAAGTAACTTGCCCATGAGTTATTCTATTGCTAAGGGCTACACATATAACTCTAAGTCTACTGCTTCAAAAAATATGTCCAATATATTTTGGTAAGATTTCACTTTAAATAATAAATACAACAATGCATAAAACAGTGCTAAGATTCTATGGAAGGAGTAACATGATGGCAACTAACTGGCCTCTAGATTTCACTTCTCTAAAGAGTGCAGTTCCAGCCAGTGTCCTCTGTTTTTCTATGGCTACTACCATTACCAGCATGCCTATCCCAAAAGTACTCTGCCCTTGAGTATTTTTCAGTGAGGCAGAAAATTTCTTTATAGAGTAAGAACAGAATTGTTCAAAAGACAGTTTGATAAGAAACTAGGAAGAAAAGAAGCAAAAATAAATCACCCACAACTCCCCCTACCAAACCCCCCCAAAAAAGACAAAAAAGGGGCACATGTAAGAACACATATTCTTTAAAAAGTTGAGCCAATTCAATTTCGATACAACTCAAATACTGAACACCTATTATGTGCCAAGCATATAATGAGAGAGACAGTATGGTGTTTGTATAAGTATAGCCTTAGAGATCACTGGGACATAATTGAGAGTTTAGACATAAGCCTTCACATTTATGGTCAGTTTTTTTTTTTCAAAGATTGTATTTATTTATTTGAGAAAGAGAGAGCATGGGTGGGGAGGAGGGGCAGAGGGAGAGGGAGAAACAGGTTCCCCACTGAGTGGGGAACCCAACATGGGGTTTGATCCCAGGACCCTGGGACCTGACCTGAGCCAAAGGCAAACGCTTAACCAACTGAGCCACCCAGGCTCCCCTGGTCAGTTTACGTTTTACAAAGGAATAAGGTACTTCATTAAGGAAATAAGAGTGCTTTAAACAAGTGGTGCTGGGACAACGGGATACACACATGCCAAAAAGTGAATTTGGCCCCTTTTTTCACACCATACACAAAAATTAACTCAAAAATGAATCAAACAGAGGATCCCGAGAAGATAGAGAAAGAAGCACCAGGAATCTGTCTCCTCCTCTAGACAACTGCACTGGCAAAATCTATCTGATATAACTGTTTTATAACTCTGGACTCTGCTGAAGAAGGCTTGCAACTTTCAGGGCAAGATGTGGATAGTAAACTGAGGTTAATTTCGTTTAATTTTAGCTTTTAGCACAGTAGCAACTACTCATCCCCCAACCTCAGCCACGTGGCAGGCAGCTATGTGAATGTTTGTGGAGCAGCTTGCACAGTTTATGGGAATTAGGGTGGGCAAAAAGGACCCTGTCCTCCAAATGATGGGAATCTGCTCTGGTTACTCATTGCCCTCTGGTCACAGAAGTGCAAACAAAGAGACAAAGAGGCAGGCAACCATTGTAGTTGTACTCCTCAAATTGTTGTAAGCCCCTCTCCCTCCAGCTGAAGTGACTTCCACTGGATTTAAAGGGCTAGCACCTTCATTTTTTACTTTTTTTTTTTACTCCCTTCATTTTTTACTTTTTCACTTTCAGGAGCCAGACATTAAAAACCGGACATTCAAAAACAAATGCCTATAAGGGGAAAATCAGACAGTGACTGTGCATGCCCAAGGAAAAAGGCTCAGAAAAGACCTAAGAAATTAAGTTTACACCTCATGTTCATACTTGGAACAGAGACAGCCAACAACAATAAAAAAAACCAAAAATAATAAAAGATACCACTCCCCAAGGAAGGAGAAGACTTTGATCCCCAGAGTTACATTATTAGATTCAAATATCTAGCATTTGACAAAAAATCACAATGTATTCAAAGAAACAGGAAGTATGGGCCATTGAGAGGCAAAAAATAAATCAATATAAACTGTCCCTGAAAAAGACTTACAGCAGTTATGTGAGACAAAGACTTTAAAACAACTGTCATAAAGATGCTCAAAGAACTAAAGGAAGTTGTGGAGAAAATCAAGAAAACAATGTGTGAACAAAATGGAAATATCAAGAGACAGAAAACCTAAAAAGATAACAACAACAAAAAGTCCTGGAGCTGAAAAGTACAACAGCTAAAATGACAGATTAAAGGCAGAGTTGAACAAGCAGAGAAAGAATCAGAGAACTTAAAGACAAGACAATGG